CTGCCTGTCTCCCTTTGTTGTGGGGGTGGTTTGGGTTTGCCCCTGACTTTGATCTGGTGGCGGCGGTCTCGCCGCCGCCCTGGGTCGCCGGGACGGACTGCTCCCGGCCGCTCCCCGGGCTCTGACTTCATAGCCGTTCATTTTTCACATCTCTGAACCTGAGAGTCGTTTCTGTGTTGATGGTGAAGGATTTGGGGTTTTTTTAAAATCCCCTACTTGAATCTACCGCCAGCTACTTAAAGCCCTCGCTATACCCAGCTACTTAAAGCCCTCGCTATAAAGAAATTGTGTATGTACACACACACACACACACACACACAGGAAGTAAGGAGAACTGGTCTGGGCCTTGGGGGTGGGCTTGCTGAGTCCCCATGTCCCCGCAGCAGCTTCCCTTTCCCGCAGGAGGGGTTTATTGGGGCAGCGAAGTGGGTCGGGCGGGGAAGCTATGCCTCGAGGCACAAATGCCTCGAAGCTCAATTTGCATGATTGCTTTGTGCGGCCAGCTTATGGGAACTGCTCAGATTGTGTGGAAGGGCCTGAGGTGTGCGCTTAATTAAGCCTGCTACCCCTTCCCAACCCCCACCACCGGCCACACCCCTCCGGGTCTTCCCCATAATGTTTGCTGGCTATTAAATTGTGCACATTTTGACACAGTTGTTAAAAAGATCGGGAAAACGTGCTACAGGTCAACAGGAAAGACCTTGGGTGACGTTTCTAAAGTCATATGCTCCAAGGAACTAAGTCTGATTTTCTTGAACTGGCTTATTCTGTTCAGACTTCTGGCCCCTTAGTCTGGTGGAACATTGGTTCCACCGCAGAGAATGACGAAAGAACCCCTGTCTGTTTTACACCTGGGGCTTGAGGATATGTCGGCAGTCCATAAATAATAGCTACTGTAGTAATCATGGGTTCTGATCAGCACATCCCAGATCTGAGCCTCTAATCCAAACAAAAGCTTGTTAACTATATTAATTTAGCCTAACAGAGGAAGAATAATGAGAATAAACAGTTGGTTCTATCTAATTTCTCACAGCAGCAGACACATCATTCTTCATCTCCATGGTCCAGCCTGTAGATTCAATAATTAAATTATGTACTTCGTTCGGTGGATGCCGGGAAAGCAAAGGGGAAAAATACTTCATCGTTAACTATAGATTTTTTTTTTTTTGCCTGATAAGACTCAGGCTGGAAAGAGCTACATAGATTAAGATGATGATTTTTAATGTCACGTTGACTTCACTTGGCTGTCTTGTTGCCACTAAAATTTATTATATGCTGAGCCCCCAGTTCCTCTCCCCCTCCCAGATCCACTGCTTGGTCCGTGTCACACTCATCTATAGTCTTTGAGTCTTTATAGATCCATTTCTCTTCTTACCCAACCTCCAACCTATACATCACCAATTACTGCTGGTCCTTCAACCACAACATCATTAAGCTTTCTTCCTTCCTCTGCTCTGTAAAGACTGTCATACATAATTTAGTTACTTCTCATCATTCTCCATTTTGGTCAACTCACACACTCCTCTCTGCAATAAATTCAGGATCCTGCTTGCTGCAAACACATTACCCTGAACGTTCCTGCATTTCACTGAAAGTCTCTCATCTTATAAGATGACATCATTCACAATACAGGAAACCCTCCTGATTCATGGTTTCACGACTTGAGGTTTCAATTATTCTACATCAACAGCGAACCTAGGCAGCCTAGGAGGCGGAAAAATGCATTCCTTGGTTTCTCTTGCTCATTAACATGTTATAACTCCAAGTGGGACTGTAGGTGTTGAATCTCTCTTGTTAATACCTTGTATGTTGGTTTATAATTGACGATCTTTCTCCACCTACTGCAGACACAGAGGCTCACTATGTCTTCAGCCACATCAAGTATGAGAGGGGGCTTCACATGCAAGAACACAATCAGATGTCTGTAAGGATTGTTGTCACAGGCTTTGGCTTGGCTCCTCTATTGACAGGCCTGCGGGCTTATCTATGTCTGATCTATAGCATAAGCTTGAATATATTTCAGTACCTGGAAGGCGGGGATCCAAGATGAGACTCTTCTGGGGCAACTTCAGATGGGGCTCTGATGGCATTCAGGGGTGTCTGCTCTGTCAAGATACCACTCACAACCCCTCCTACCACTCTGCTCACCCAGGAAAGGATGTGACTTGCAACGTGGAAACAGAGGCAGGGAGTCTGGAAAGTCACCAATCTGGGTGCGTGGAGTTTGTCATGGGTAAAGGGTACAGGCCTTGGAGTCTAACCAGACTTTGATCTCCAGTTCCATTTCTTACCACCCAAATGACCTGCAGAAGGTACTTACATTCGTGGAGTGTTTTGTTTCCTCATCTGTCAAATCAACAACATTCATGCCTTCGGTTACTGTTTTAATTAATTCTCTATGTGCTGGGTGCTGTGAATACCAACAGTGAACAAGATAAACCACTCCTTGCCCCCACAGGGCTTACCCTCCACCCCCAAATAAATGCTGAATAAATGAACCTCATTGCCTGCTCAGTTTACACAGTAAGTG